GGACCGTGTACGTCATTTTCGCGATAGGAGGATAGTTGCGAAGCGTGGAACGTAGGGTGGATCTTCCATTGCGGCGGTAACTGGAGTGTAAACGTGATAGCGGACAGTACAGCCGTGATAATGAACGGGCCGTATCTCTTGGGTGCCAGTTTCCGGGATGGGAGCTTTAGTCTCAGATTGGCAGCGGACAGCCATACCTTATCTCCGACTTTCCATGGTTCGTACTTCTGTCCGAAGGATCTTTCCGCCATGCGTTGCATAGCAATGTTATGACAGGAGACGGCTTCTTCTCTTATCTTTTGAAGAATTCTGACTCGTTCCTCAGCAGCGGGAACGTCCGATTCCGGGAGTAAGTATGGGAGAGCTTTCGGCTCGTATCCCATCATGATAAAGAAGGGGGATGCATCTTTTGCGGAGTGTCTTCTGTGATTGTGAACAAATTCTGCCATAGGGAGATGTTCCACCCATTCGGAAGGATTGTTCTGGCAATACATTCGAAGATACGTCTCAAGTTCCTGGTTTAACCGTTCGGTCTGTCCGTCGGTTTGTGGGTGATAGGCAGTGGAGGGGGCTAAAGAATAATCCAGGAGTCGCGCAAGTTCGATCGAGAATCTGGATAAGAACTGTGGTCCACGATCGGAGATTACTTTGTCATGGAGACCAAATCTTTTGAAAACGTGTTTTAAAAATAGCTTCGCCACTCCTTCCGAGGTAATTGTTTTATGGCAAGGAGTAATGATCACCCCCTTACTAAGTCCGTGGTCGACCACGACCATGACACTATCAAAGCCAGATGAAATGGGGAGATCGGTAATGAGATCTACAGAGAGCTGGGAAAAGGGGCGAGTAGCCATAGTACTGATAGGGTGTAGGGGTGGGGTCACAGGGTGAGTGTCCACCTTCATCTGCTGGCACGTAGCGCAGCCATCGACGTAATTGCGGATATAAGTGCCCATACTGGGCCACCAGGCTTCCCGCTTGACGAGTTCTTCGGTTTTAAAGCGTCCGGGATGTCCCGCAGAAGGGTGATCATGATGCTTCCGGAGTAACTGTGGTCGATGTGCGGGAGGGATATAAGCTCTATCTTTGTAGAACAGAATATTATCGGCGATACGCCAGTCGCTAAGCGATGATTTCATAGGAGGCAGACATAGGCCATTAAGGGCATCTTGCGCGGCAGAGAAGAGGGGGTCGTCAAGGGGTGCGGTGGAAGCAATAGCTGCTCGTAATTCATCATCAATTAGGCGGATAAACATGGAATCAGGGAGGAGGACGGCATCAGCATTATCTCCCGATCCGTCACCATGGTCCGGCCGGCGAGAAAGGGCATCCGGAACTGCTAATTTTGTACCGGGGACGTGATATAACTGTAAGTCGAAAGAAGTGAGGAGTAGTTGCCATCTGGCCTGTCTTCTGGATAGGCGTTCTGCTTTTGCGAAATAGAGGAGGTTCATATGATCAGTAAATACAATAACCGGTTGTGGATGTCCTTCGAGGTAGTGTCGCCAATGGGTGAGAGCGCGGATAATAGCCAACAGCTCGCGATCATGAATGGGGTAGTTTCTTTCGGCAGGGCTGAACGACTGCGATAGGTATGCACACGGGTGATAGACACCATTAGTGTCAGTCTGTAGCAATACTCCTCCTGATGCGACAAGAGAAGCATCCGTAGCGATGGCGAATTGATGGTGGGGATCAGGGTTCTGAAGAACAGGGTGTGAAGTGAAGCATTCTTTTAGCTTCTCGAACGTTTGTTGGCACAGAGGCGTCCAAGAGAATGAGACATCTTTCTTCGTTAGGTCGATAAGGGGTCGAGCTATATCCGAGTAGTGGGAAACGAAGGTTCGGTAGAAGTTGCAAAAGCCCAAAAAAGATCGAACATCTTTTACTGTTTCAGGGGTGGGCCAGTCTTTGATGCCTGCCGTCTTCCCTTTATCCATTTCTACGCTTCCCGGTTTGATAATCATTCCAAGGTATTCCACTTCTTCCGCATCGAACGTGCATTTCTCCGGTTTAACAAATAATTTTTCTTTTCGAAGTTTGTCTAGAATGATGCAGGTTCGTTGTTGGTGTTCTGTGGTTGTTTCGGAGAAGATGAGCATATCGTCCATGTAGATGACGAGCCATCCTTCGTTGAGTTCAGCTCTGAACGTATCGTTCATATACGCTTGGAAAGTGGCGGGGGAATTGCATAATCCGAAGAACATGACCGTGGGTTCAAACAGTCCTTCTTCCGTGATGAACGCGGCTTTCCACCTGTCATCCGGATGAATCCGAATGTTATTGTATCCGGATCGAATATCAATTTTTGTGAATATCTTCGCGCCATGTAACCGTTCAACCAAAGATGACGGGAGTGGCAGGGGGTACGCGTTTTTGATAGTTTGGTCATTCAAGAAGCGGTAGTCCTGGCACGGCCTAAGTTCTCCGCTTTTCTTTCCTACAAAAAAGAATCCGCTTGCTTGAGGGGATTTAGATTTCGTGATGAACCCCTTGGCAAGGTTTTCTTCGATAAATCTTTTTACTGCGCTTCGTTCGCTGTAGGAAAGGGGGTAAATTTTGGACGTCTTGGGAATAAATCCGGGCTTCGTTTCGATACGATGGTCGATACCGGGCCTCTCGGGGGGTAGTTCGTTCAAGCCGTTTTTTGCGAATACGTCAGAGAAGTCATGGAGATACTTCGGTACCAATTCTTCAAAAGTTTTTTTCTTCTTTTCTTTTTCTTCGGAGGCGAACTCCTGTGCTTTGTTACTAAACTTGGAAGATTCTTCGACTTGTCGGAGATATTCTCCTTCGTCCGTAAGTTCGGTTAGGGATGATGGTGACGTACTCCAAGCGTCTTCTTTTGTATTGAACTTCTTAGTGAAGAAGGTTTTCTGTGGTCGAGAGGTTTGCTCGACATATTTTTTGATTTCGGCAGATTTTTTTGTTGCTGGGAGGGATACCGTTTGTTCGGTCCAGTTTATAGCGGGGTTCATGGCTCGAAGCCAGGGGATCCCTAGTAGGATCTGGTCCTTGTCTCCTAACTTGGTAATGTTGAATTTTCCTATCATCATCCTTTGGTCGATTTGGACGATTAGCGTGCAGTACCGTTCTACTGGTCCGCTGCTGAAGTAGCTTCCATCGGCGGTTTTAATATAAAAAGGTTTTTCGAGTTTCTTGGTTCCAATGTTATGTTTCTTCACGAAGTCCTCGGAGATATATGTTCCCGATGCTCCGGAGTCAATTACTGCGGTGGTTTCGACATTTTTCTGACGCGTTCGGGATACGAGGGTTATGGGGACACGAAGTTCTTTCTTTTCACCAACTGTTCGTATTAGGCGTACAGGTTTTGCTGGAGATGCTATCGTCGATATAGGTCTCCTGTTTAAAAATCCTCATCAATTCTTCTAGCTTCTTCTTCTTCCTCTACCTTCCTCACTGCTGGGTAGGGGGCTTTCTTCTTCTGCGGACATTCCCGTGCCCGATGTCCGATCTGGTGACAGTTGAAACATTTCCCTGTCCTCATGTATTCTTGCTTGGCTTCGTCGGTGATCCGATCGATAACCATGGCGTCCCTATCTCTGGCTGGGATATATCTTTGATCTCCGCGACCGTTCTTCTTCTGGATTTGTCGGGAAGGAAACCTGCTTCTCCGAGCTAGCAATCTTGCGTAGCAATTATCCAGATCGACTACCGCGGCGATGTAGTCATCGAGGTTCTTGGGTACTCCTCCCGCGTTGAACATTTTGGTTAGAAGTCCTCCGTTGAGGCCGTTTTCGAAATGATAGATCATCATATGTTCTTCTTTGATCTTTGCTTGGGCAAGTAACCTTTTGAAGTCTGCAATGTACGTCTGCAGGCCTTCTGGGCCTTGTTTTAATTCCAGGAGTCGTGCCAATGCGGTCCCGGATGGGTCAATCGGTCCGAAGGCTTTGTCAAAGCTTTCGTTAAACTCTTTCAAGGTTCCATAGCCCTTCTTTTGTCCAGTTGAGTCGATGAATTGGGCTTCTGCGAGGAATTCTTCTTTCCATGACCTAGCATTTCCTTCGTTCATGAACGAGGAGATGAAGATTACTTTCTGAGTGTCGGTTTTATAAATTTCCGAGTTGATATCAATGTAAGCATTGCATGAGAGCATGAATGACTTGGACTTGTCTCTGTCGCCATCAAATGTGGGAGGATGGTTGATCTTGAATTCTGTTGTCTTGGATGAGGCCGACATGTTCAATGGTGGTACAGGAGTACCAAGGTTCAGGGCTTGGAAGGTAGGGGTGAGTGAAGTCAGGTTGTCGCCTTTTTCTTCGCCTGCACTAGCTGTCTTGCTCAGTCAGGATCTTTCTGTTCTGGTTTCGAGGTTTCTTTGACACGTATGGATATAGGTGTCCTTCTGCACTTCAATCTTTTGTTACGAACTAGGATAGTTCTTATAACAACAAAGGCTCGACAGAGCGTTCACGTTGTTGAGGTCTTGTATAGCTCTTCAAATAAGAAGAGGTTCGTAGACTTTAGTCAAAGGAGTGCTTTGACAAAGAGTTCGGTTCAGACGTCTTAAGATTGGTGGTCTTAAGCGAAGGAAGTGTTCAGGGTAAAACCTAGTAAGATTGAAGTGACGTTTCTAAGTAAAGTACACGTGCTTAAATAGGAAACTTATATGCGCACGGACCAGGGCTACGGTGAGATAATAGTACAGAGATCGAATGCGGAAGTAAGACCAAGAAAGGAAAGCAAGCTGCTAAGAACGTAAGGCATAATGGCAGATACGTGAGAAGTAAAGAAAGTAGAGCGGTTGTAACACGTAGGGTATATTCCTATAGAGACAGTTCTCTATCCTCTTTATGTATGTATTTGCATGCCTGATTTTTTGGCGATATCTCATTGGCGGCGCAGTCTACACAAGCAGGTCTTGCGAACGTAATTTTTTCTTTTTTTCGAGGGGGTTTGCTGCATACGCTGACTGCCTCTCTAGCTGAGATCACAGATTAAATTGTCTGCTTATTTGCAGACTCCGTTGGTACACAATGCAGCCTATGAGCCACGGCCAGACTTCACAGTGCCCATCTATCTGGCAAGTTGAATCTAGACAGCACCACGTCTTCCAACTGATTAGTCCCGCAGCTGGAACTTCAGTCTCATACATTTGATCTTCCCTTCATAGGCCAAAGGTTGGGTGACGACGGCAATCACTACAACTTATACAGTTCTGTAAGTGCAGTTCGCAATTTTAACTTGTCTCACCTGACAATACCCATAGGTAACTGATGATAGCGACTCCGTTGTTCATCTCGCACTTCATCCTATGGGCTATGAACCTGTTCATGTTGTGGGATTGCCCATTCTCGACTTCACATCTTTCCCGCCGATGCCGGATATCGTGTTTGATCTGACACAGACGCCTTTCATACCACAAGACCCGGGTATGGTCGCACCTCGTTCCAGCTGTGAATTGTCTGTGCGGTCTCCCGCTGTCAATCGTTTGTGTTACAACCCTATTGCTGTTACATCTCGCGCGCATAGTTTTACCGCCGACTCTTCAGAGTCGGGTTTGGTCGCATCTAGCTCGATCATTGGCTCATCCATAGTGGAGACTTCCTATATGGGTTCCTCCCCTTATCCGGCAAGCGGAGGTGATGCCAAGGCCAAATCGACTGGTGCCAAGCACAAACTCACACTAACCAATATCATAGCTGACTACCCCAACTGGGGAAAGGCTCTTTCCACCCTTCGTTGCATGTTACGAGTCCTTGTGTGCCATGGAGATTCTCCCAATCTGTTCTTACTTGTCATGGCCGATTATTCTACAGAGCGAAAGGCGCTGATTAGTTCCCTTTGGTCCAATACTCTGATTAGGTGTGATTTGGAGAAGAAGGACTTGGAAAAGAGTGAGTAACGCGATTCTTCTGACAGCCCGCTAATCTCGTAGTAGTTACCACAGCAGACAATAAAGTCATGTCTGAGGCGGACATCCTCGCTCTCGTTCATGTTATCTTCATTTTTCCGTACCTGTCTCATCCCAGAACAGGGCAACCCTTGGTTCACTCTTTGGATGTATGACAACAAGTGTCATGCGTCTACATCAATCAGGACCAGTCGCGCTGGCTTCGACCTCAGACATATCTTCGGAATTGCGCTACATGATAAAGTCATGTCCATCATAATGAAGCTGATGCCCCCACAGTCAAATCGCCTTCCGCTCGCCGTGAGTGTTGTGAATTGGCTTTGGTGTTCTAACTCTTATAGTGTCGCACAGATTAATGGTTTGGTGTGGTTCCTCCGCGAACAAATCACAACAGAGATGGTTTACCATGTAGTCTTCCGGCAGAACACCAAACCAGGTCATCGGATTTGTCTCGCTGACCTGGATCCCGTAGCCTTTAGGCAGGCGGCATACCCGCCCGTGGCCACCTTGTCCTTAGTCGTAACCTCTGTCAGTTGCTTCTGCTCCACATGTCGTTTTCAAACACTGATTTCATCAGTGTTACGATGTCTTGTTAGACTCCTTTGACGACGAAGTCAAAGACTCCTCTGAGTTTACATCTCCAAGCCAGATGCATATGCAAATTTGCGAGACACTTCCCATGCTATTCGAACAATCTGACGACCCGGACCACACGACATTCATGACCTCTATGAACGCATTATGTGACATCAAGTAAGTTTACATATGTGTGATGTCTGTGTTGCCAACTAATAGGAATGTAATGTGCAGGAAGGGCGATGTCCAACGGGTTAGCCGGCCTAGGCGCGGAAAGAAGAAAGTGATTACCTAAATTACATTTCGTTCATGTGCCGTTTGTAAGGAGGGCTCTTGAAATGCAGTGTCTTCCGTTTGCAAAACTTTGTGACTTCGAGTCTTTCCTTTATTATTGCGGCTAGATGCCACCTCATCGTGTGAGGTGATTTTATACAAGGTAAGCAACAATAACAATACCATTATCATGCTCATCTATGCTGCTGAGGGGCTTCGGAAGAAGCCACAACTTCCATAATGCAAGGACTTTTTATAGCTTTGTCGATGGCGCACGATGGCACAATGGTGTACCTAAACCTATGGTATAAGCGAGGGCCTAGACTTCACTGCATTCGAAACGTGTGTGAATTTAATCATTTGTTATCGTCATTGCTATGTCTCACGTTTTTATAGTTTGATCGCCATGATGCGCCATAGCTGGGCCATTGCTCCCAAACCGAATGTATAGTTGCCTCAATATTCCATTATCGTGTGAACATCCCTGACCTCTTGTTTTTTTCTGCTCACCATTTTCAACATGTCAAATATTATCCTTTCTACGTGCAACTCACTTTTGAACCTCGATGTTCTTGGAATTGAACACAATGAGAATGACCTAGCATATTGGCTCCAGACAAAAGGATTTGAAATTGTCAGTGCACTTATATGTATTTAATATTGTTCCCTCATTTCTACATTCCCAGCTTCCAGCTCCCATTTTCACCGCATCTTCCGTGCTTTTTGGATTGGTGGATCCTCTTGATATCAAGGCTCTTATTGAAGCGAGCCTACAAGAGGACGCAAGGCAGACAGGCCTCCAGCATGAAGAGGAAAGTTGCTTGGAATACCTCAAGCGAGGAGGCCATCTTTTTATGGAGGAACACATGGATCGTGCTCAAATGGAAGTATCGTTGTTCAGTACCACTATTGCGAGCTTGTGTGAAGAACTGGACGCTAGATGTCACCCAAGTGAGCCATGATGTTCGAAGAATCTTGTCCGACACTCTAAAATTACTTCTAGCTCTATGTCGTGTTGATCCAAAGAAGCTGGTCACAATCAAAGCTGTTGTGTTTGTGGGAGCACGCCAAATGTCCGTTCAGTCAATTGCTTCCAGCCTACAAAGGCTGTTCAAGAAAAATGCTATGCATGGCTTCGCACATCATCGCAGTCTCAGGATATCACACAAGATTCCAGTGCCAGTCGAATACTTCATGATTTCCCCTTAACTTCACAATGTCCCTGTCCGCACGACCATGTCCTTAGGGTAAGTCCTGTTCATATTACGAGGACCCAGTATTTTGACACTGTACAGCCCGACAATCAATTTATTCCACTTCCTCATGTCATGAAAGCTTGGGTAGATAACTTCACATACAGTGCATATACAAACATGTCTTTGGCAGAAGCTAATGCGCCCCTACACCCCGACCACGGTAACAGCTTCACAGCAAAGGAGTCTAAATCACTAAATGTGCTCAAGTCTGACTTCCACATTCTGGACTTGAAGAAGCAACGCGCACAGTCAGAAGTTGACATGTTGTCTGAAGCTATTGTACGCATCGCCGAGTTCCACCATAGTGATGATGGTGAGCATGTAGCATTTTGAGTTTTCTCTCACTAAGGTTATATGTAGGTACTACCGAGACGGATGAATCCGATTCACTTGACGACTGGATGTCAACCTCATCCTTATCTTCCAGTTGCTGGTCACTCTAGTGATGCTCTTACTTGTAGATGTACCACCAGGTCTAAGTTCCCCGCATGCTGTTTCACTGTCATATTATTACGCATGTCAGTCATATGATGAACTCTATTTATGTTATTTCTGTTCCTGCTTGTCTACTACTATGATCAAAATTTTGTATCTGTTTGCGTGCAATGGAAGTAAAGCTTTTGGGCCATAGATATTTTAACATCCAGGGGATATACATGGTCGCTCACCCTATATCCGAGTCATCACTTTTGCAGGTGTCCAAATGAGGATCTGAACGCATGTTGGTACTTAGGTAAGGTTTTGTGCTCAACTACGCTCAAATCTGAACTTTGTATCCGATAGGTAATACCTCGATCTGAGCAACTTAGACATTCATGTCCAGGATATCTCGTCTACTCATGTTTCATCAGACTTTTGGTGAGATCTTTGACTATGATTCTGTATCTCGAATCGATTACTAATTTTGTTCTAACCCCTATGTAGCAGTGCTTGTCTCCGCCAAGTTGAATGGCTTGAACCTAACAACCTAGCAGGGTTCGGATACAAAAGATGAGGCGGGACGCGTCTGGTTCGACATGCTTTGTCAAACGCTGTCTGTGCATCTCACATATTTTCCATGACGAGCAGTTGCTAGTGCTCTCTTAGGTGTCTTGTTCTCCTGTTTCGTACCACGTGCGCCACTGACAAGCAACTACTTGACAGTATTTGATACTTTGGTAATGCAGACTCAGTGTTAGTGGTTGCTACTTTGTTGAAATTTTAGTTTATTGGGATTATTTTAGGATAGGGCCGCACGCTATATCAGACATCATGCAAGTAACATTCTATTCTACCGACTACTAATTCATCCTGCCATTCCTCTAACCCGCTCCCTAATACCACCCTTTCGCTTTTGCACTGCCTCCTGAACACTCGCTCGCTCTCCTTGGGACCTCATCGACTTGATTTTACAGGTATGTCAGCATTAGTATTCGATTCTCTGCTCAACCAGTGTCGTTAATGTACCTTGATAAGACCTTCAAGATGCGTCGCCGGCACCACCCTTTTCTCCATTGTCCTGTGCGAACCTACTGGTGCCCCGTCTCTCTCTCTCTCGGCGCAATATTCTTGTTTTACAACTAGATTGGCTACACATTTGTTTAGATAGATCATTTTTACAAACCTCTCTATATGCAATATGATCAGTATATGATCACAAATCGATCAATAATGTCAAGTCGCATTGTTTTGCGGACCCATGAGTACGAAAAAGTGTGTTGTTTCACACAATACAGAACAGTGTGCTAATAGTTCGTGTTTACCAGCAGCATCTACCTTTTTGGGTCGTAGACATCGCCACATACAACTTCTTCAGCCACTCACACATCTGTTCCAACCTCAGGTCTATCAGCAAACGTGTTCATCCGATCAGACTGCAAGGAATACCTTTATCTTCCCTTGCAACTGCTCTATCTTGACATTTACATTCCCTTTCTCTCGTCCCAATGAGACCTAATGCAATGGCCAGGCCAGAAATTGATGGAACGACGCATGCACACAAACCATCTCTCTCCTTTGCCGATTCTCCTGCACTTGAGCGTACACCACATGGTATGGCCACGTTCCGTGCACTTGAATCAGAAACCGGGCTACCAAGAATCCCGAATGGGTACGGTTCATCTGCCTCTACAAATGATTGTGGCAGCGAAGCAGACGAAGCATTAATGTCAATGGATAATGACTTTGGAGAGAAACGCAAGCTGTGAGCCTCACCTTCTTGTTCTTCTGCCAATTCTCCGTCCATTACTAACTGTAGTACCTCTTCACTTATTTAATGCAGAAACGGTTCATCTTATGGTCCTCGTAAATGCGCACGTCTCATCCCTGCTCCCTTTGCGCCTATTCCCACCGCAGACGACCCGAACTCGAGCTGGTGGTGCTATGTTCAGTCCGACTCACTTCTCGCCAATGGACTTCCAGCTCTTCCCCAGCCCTTCGTTGCATCAACCCCCATCCGCAATTTCTGTCCGTAGAAAAGTATAAGGATAAAGGTACTCTCGCGCCCAACATCCTCCTCACTGTCATGAATACGAACATTAAAACGCTCAAACGGGTCCGATGGATGCACGCTAAGTTTACCACGCTCAACCTGAATGTAGAAGAGGGTGGAATGGGGGACGAGCTGCCAGATATTGGGGAAGAAGGCAGGGTTGACAAGGTCATAGATGAGCGACCATGGCAAGCAAGATATGCTGACCTTGGACAGGTCAAGGGATCGGTGGAACTAGAAGTGAGTGAGAAGAATGCGGATGAGTGTCTGAAATGGATGAATCGGAAGGTAATAGAGCATAAAGGATTTCAAGGTGCGTTCCAAACTCCTCTTTCATCATCATGCACTTACTTTTGTTGTATTTCCAGGGACGTCAAGCATTGCACTGGATGTGATGGTGGGGGTAACATCTGAGTATTTGCTCAATGTCGGTCGAATGCTACGATTGATGTGCGATGAGTATGTGAAGAGCATGACACCAGAGGTAGTACATCTCACATGTTTCACTCATCATTAACTTACTGGTAGTATGCTATAGGAAATCATTCTTCATACACTCTTCGAGAGTGGAATCGCGAAGATTCAAGATCTTGAACTGTACATCAAGGACGACATCATCCGGCATGGTTCGCGCCTTATCAACCTCGAGAAAAAGCTTGTTGGAGCGTATCGCAAAGCTGTAAGTAGCTACTCACTGGAACATTCACTGTACTCATCATATGCACACATACATAGGTGGAACTTATCGACAATGGCACACTTTTTGCTGGTGAGGATTACGAAGGTGACAACAGTGCCTTTGTTACAGGTGGGTTTTATGACTCACTTGGTGATGATTTTCTCGGGTTACAGGAGCTTGGCGTCGCTGCGGAATTGGGGCTATCGAGTCTCACTATCCCAAAGAAGCTACTCAAAGGGAAATCACGGGGAACAGCAGGGGGTGCTATCGAGTAGTACGTCTTTGTCTATCCAGTCTCCTGAATTGTCATCTAATTTTGTTCCGCTCTCAGAGCAAAACTCAGAGAACAGCTACCACCATATCCATCATCTCCTTCGCTGCTTCCTATCACAAGCAAGAATGTGGGCAATCAGATCGGGTTATTGTGTTCCTACTTTCAAGTGCGGCTTTCGTAGTACTACAGCGCTTCTACATATTCACACTCCTATGTATAAGTGTTGCAACATATTATGACTCTGGTGACAGTCTGTGGCACAACCAATTAACTAGTAGCAGCCATGGGCACAGTGTCAGCCACGACACACGCGGCCGCGGCGCGCCGACCAATGACTGTGGGTCACGTGGCATGTTGTGACCATGAGATTGGTAGGATGGGTCAGATGTCTCGGATGAGTCTCGGGTCCTCTCGTCATGGTGGCAAGTACATTTTCATTGCTTTCGAGTTGACACATTAACTCACATCTACGAATAATCATTTTCATAGATTTCATTACTACGGGTCTCAATGAACTGTGTCTCCTACAGGAGCCCTTGAATGAACCTGTTCTGCAAAAAGCTTAATTTGGTTGCGGTTTTGCTTTGGTTTTACCACCAAGCATGGCAAGGGTACTGCAGACATTTATCTTGTTCCCCTTCCAGATTCAAAGTGGAAGGCCTACTACACTCTGTTAACCTATCTTAATTCATTGACCAATTTCCCTCAAAAGGTGTGCAATCACGTTCCTTCGAGAGCACTTTCTGACTCTGGAAGCTCAGTCCCCTCAGCAACAGCCTGAGGGAGGCTGATCATGGCACGCTTGTCATCGATAGGAAGCCTCGGGTTGGGGATAGTGTTCGTCCCATCACAATTTTGGTATTCACATCTAGCTAAAGGCTTGAAGGTGATTTCATAGCGGACCGTTACAAGGCTCTTTGTCTGCATGTTATGATTTGTTCGTGCCTTTTCCTCTATGGAAAGGGATTGACTAACACACTTACAGGGTACAACCGAACACCTTACCTGAAGTGAGTGGTTTGTCAGAACTCCTTTGATTCTTTTGTAATCCGGTTTGCAGCTTTCCACCAACATGGCCAGTCTACACCCCAGCTGCAAAAGTACAGTATTACCCACACGACGTTTGGACGGCCTCGACGATCACCAAAACATCTTGGAACGATAGCACTAGGGTTCTGACCGTTAAGCACCACATTTTTTCCACTGGATCTGGCAGTCGCCTGAAAGTTCCCGACATCCCTGGGAAGGTATGTAATTCTCGAACTCATCAAACGTGACTCATGGACGCAGGCAAGCTTCAAAGGGTCTGCCGTGCACTCGTCAGAGTTCAATTCTGCAGCTGATCATATTGGTAAGACAAAGCAATCGTAGTCGGATGTTGCATTTCTGGTTGGTTTGTCACATCTTTTGTATCGAACGAGGTCTAAATATTTCATCAGCACATGACATTGCTCAAGATTTCTGTAGTCACGGTGTCGACATCACAATGTGTGTTCTTTGGTTCAAGTTATATCATTTTCATATCTCACAGAATACTAGGTATCAATGATCGTCGACATTCGTGATCTCGACGGAGTCAGTGGCAGCAATGCTAGGTGATAATTGTTCCCATGGTCGTCGGTAGCTTTAACTTGGATGGGTTCATGGATACATTCATGGAGGTACATCACTACGAAGCTTCAGAGGATATCCTCACTGATTGACCATATGCATTGCACAGTTCTTTGGCTGGGACTTCAGCTTGTTATGGCAGACCGCCAACCAAAGACATTGTGAAGCATTTCTCTGCGCTGATCGTGTGATTGAAGTGGCTGGGTCTCATCAGTATATGATGCTCATGATTAGCGAGGCTGTGAAGCCCGTTTATCACGAATGGTTTTCTGGTGAGCAGTTCTGGACAATCTGAAAATCGAGACTCATTCTAGTGTCCTTCAGCCTTCAAGTACAAGTGTACTTCACGTTGTGTCACAAAGGGAGACGAAGCTGTTACTGCGAGCAATTATGAAATGGCTGTTGAACTCTATTCAGCAGGGATAAGCCTGGACTCTTTGCGAGTCTCTTTTTGCGTGCCGAAGTAAGGCAAATTTGACACGAAGGCTCTATACAGAGGCCCTTGACGATGCAGAAAAGGTGCGAGTGATGTTTATTGTCGAGCTCAAGTGCTGATACCAGCGATGCACAGGTCATTGAACTGAGCACTTCGTCTTATACTGGGTACAAATTGAAGTATGTAATGCTTCATGAAGTACAACGCTACGATGAAGCGATTGAGGCGTTTAAAACCACACTTTTCAAGTTGGACAATGCAATTGACCCGAAGATACGAGGTAAGCACCATGTACCTTGCGTCAAATAGAAGATGGATAATCCATTCTCCAAAGTTGTGTCAGCAATATGCCAGGTCAACAGGTTGGCACTCCATGTACATGACACATTTAACAAAAGATTTTATTGTTTTCAACATATACACTCTAGGCTAGTGCTGCACCACCTCCGGTCCAATGACGTCCACCTGCTTATCGGGTACCCCAGGGTTTTTTCGATGGATTCCCACCAAAATGTTCCCATGCATGTCATCACTATCAATTCAGTTTTGTTTTCCTGACCTTGATATCCTCAGTCCTCTGCACGAAGCCATCCCCACTCTTCAGCACCGCCAGGCGACACAGTTTCTTGGTCGTTTATTCCACTGCAACCGCAGCCCCTCCAGTGCTCATGCTACGTCACCATCCTCCCCTCTCGACTGGGCTCGAAATATTCTGAAACGGCATGCACAACGTGATGAAGGTATCCAATTGCAAGGGCGCAGCCCTGCAGTTGCCAAGGTTCCATATGCGAAGGGCAAGCGTGTATGTTCCTTCTCTTCCTTGATCGTCCTACACCACTTAATTTCATGTAGAGAAATGCCTGTGCGAGGGAGAAACGAAACCTTGCCTAGCTGTCTATAATGACGACTTCCCACTGAGCTGGCTGATACTTACAATACCTCACTACCTTGGGCAGTTGTTAGGCAGCTGCATCAACATATGGTTCCTATGATTGCTGAGACTGCAGACAAGTATGTTGGATGATTCGAAGGCTCACTTCCAGATACATTAATCACAATCGCAGGGCGATTCTAGATGGATTGGCGTAAGGTTGGCTTCGAAACCAATCTTGGCATACATGGAGTAGGTAGCGAGTACATCTATCATCGACGGGAATATTAAAATCAAGAATGGTTCCGCAATTGAGTCCTTCACAGAAAACGGCCTTCAATTTGCTGATGGCACCGAGCTACAGGCAGATATCATGGTATTTGCTACAGGGTATAATCATATTTCACTTTGACGAGCAGGACTCATAATTGCTTACAGTTATGGCGATCCCTGTGACTTCATGCCTGAAGTCTGGAGATGAAATCACATCAAAAATCACCAGGGTCTGGGGTTTAGATGAAGAAGGGCAATCTGCGGGAGTGTGGAGGTACTGCAGGCATGATGGTTTGTAGTTCGCAAATGGAATTTTGCATTGTTCTTGTTATGGGCGCATCAGTTTCATTTTGATTAACAGGTAATTTGGCTCTATCGTGTTTTCACAGTCTCCAGTTGGCCATGTGTGAGTTCCTTCCTTGTGGTATATAGAGCGTTGCTGATGATCGAAAATATAGAAATAAAAGCAATAGAAGGTATTTTGAATAAGGCGGATATTGTTATTTGATGACATTTCAGAGATCTGCTTATGATCAGGGCTGGAAGACCTGTAAAATGTATGAGTACTTATTGTGTGAATTAAAGGTGTATGTACAATGAATTCAAGGCAATTTTCACTGGAGCCCTCATACAATGGTCACAGTAGTGCTTGACGGGCTGAACACAATTGATACTGAGCCGTTGTCTGTGCCTGATATGTTAGATAGGATCTCACTTGTGATAATATCATCTGATCTTAAAGTTAAACATAATAATGTATTTTGAGGCCAGTCAAGAAATGTTACATTATCACAGTGCCATCACCTTATGATACATGTATCAGAATTATATCACCCTCATAAAATCATATAATTTCACAACTGAATGTGTTTCAATGCCAGTCAATTATAATGGTTGAGTCATACTGTTGATGGCTTATAACACACATCGAATTGTATCTCCCTCATAAAATCATATCTTATTTCATATATGTGTGACACCATGATAATATCATATCATTTTGCAGCTGAATGTGTTTCAATGCCAGCCAATTATAATGGTTGAATCATACTGCTGACGGCTTATAACACACACATCGAAATTGTATCTCCCTCATAAAATCATATCTTATTTCATATATGTGTGACACCATCATATCATTTTTCAGCTGAATGTGTTTCAATGCCAGCCAATTATAATGGTTGAATCATACTGCTGACGGCTTGTAACACACACATCGGAATTGTATCTCCCTCATAAAATCATATCTTATTTCATATATGTGTGACACCATCATATCATTTTTCAGCTGAATGTGTTTCAATGCCAGCCAATTATAATGGTTGAATCATACTGCTGACGGCTTGTAACACACACATCAGAATTGTATCTCCCTCATAAAATCATATCTTATTTCATATATGTGTGACACCATCATATCATTTTTCAGCTGAATGTGTTTCAATGCCAGCCAATTATAATGGTTGAATCATACTGCTGACGGCTTATAACACACACATTGAAATTGTATTTCCCTCATAAAATCATATCTAATTTCATATATGTGTGACACCATGATAATATCATATCATTTTGCAGCTGAATGTGTTTCAATGCCAGCCAATTATAATGGTTGAATCATACTGCTGACAGCTTGTAATACACACATCAGAATTATATCTCGCTTATAAAATCATATCTTATTTCATAAATGTGTGATACAATCATAAGAATATTTAAATCTAAAACTAGACACATAATAATGTGTTTTGTTTGTCATATATATCTGGTCATAACAGTTTCAGGTCAATTTCCTGATGCAGTCAGTCAGGGCCCTCAGTGTCATGGCAAACGCCACAATTGTAACGGTGGATACATCATGATTGAGCCTCCCTCCTGGTACTACAAAGATTAACGATGCTGCTGCAGTGGCAGGAAGGAGAGATAGCTGGTATGACCCCTTCAAGACCTGGTCTGAGGTAAGTACGCATGTCGAGGATTACCACACATTTCACGATGTTTTGTTAGACATATACCTTTGATCTTTTGGTAAAATTGACCGAGGCACAGCACAAACTTGTTCTCGGAGGTAAACACAATCTACTCTCGAGGTTAAATGAGTAATCTGGCGAGCAACTTCTGTGGAGTGAGCAGTCTGGTCCCCAAATGTTGACCCAATCATGTCGCCACGCGCTGCATCAGCAGAAATTTTGATTTTTCTGGAGCAGCAAGCAGCACTGGTGCTGTACTTGACATCACCGAGGCACTTCCTCAATTGCATGTGAGTAGTGCTTTTTGATGTAGAAGATGTAGAAGTACTTAAACGACAGATGAATGATGCAGGATGTCAGGTACAGGATGATACAGCGCAGCATCAATGCCATCCCACTCCAGCTGCAGCGGTGTGCGCTTTGATCGGACGCATGCCATTTATACCCTTGATTTCGAACTTGATCTGAACTCTGGGTCTTTTCACGATTGGTCTTGGCGTTCATAGTCTGTGCTGTCGCTTACAGGATGTGTACAGCTCTTGTTCACTGAAAACCTGACTTATGTCGAGAAATATATGCCTCTGCTCTGCGAGAAGTCATGCAGTGAAATGGACTTGGATGCAATGTTCGAAGGAATGCACTGAACAACAAAGTATGTCAATAAATCATATCTATACTATGTGTAGTCCATATCTTGACTGGGATTCTGGAAATAATAGGCAACAACGCCCATAGATGACTGTACTGATGTAGGAATGCCTAGTATCGAATGATTCTCCACATCCCATACCCTTGTCATTCCATTGTTTAGCAGATCCACGCACCACTCACCCTACAGCTTGACTTCAACAGACAAACAATACTCCACCGGTGTTTGGGCGAACACCTTGCCTCTCTCGATGTCCCACAATCTCATCACCACTACCCACATCTTCCGGTCAGGAGACAACAGGTAGCTTACTTGTGGTGCGCCTTCTCCATCTCGTTAGTCTTACCCTATAGGTTATTTGGTCACCACTCTCCAAGTTCCATACTCGCAGGTTGCTGCTTGAACAGGCGTTGATCTGATATTCGCCTGGCAGGTGGAACGAGCTGTGTTGTCCATATTTCTGGCAGGGCGTTGTTGCTGACATCCATCTAGCGTTGCAGTACGTGATTGTTACCCGAAGCAACTGGAAACGATTGGATAGTAGACAGTGGTTGGGACCGAGCAATAGCAATGTTCCATCTGGATACTGATGAGATTGCCGTCAGGCAGACTGCCGAATGAGCTCTATTGCAATGAGATAAATGAAGCTAGGTATGTATGAGTGCTATGGTCGAGAAGGCAGTACAGGATCATTAAGAGTGACCAGGGAAGGCAAAGAAGCAGAATCCCGGAATATGCAGAAGTTTCTTGGCCACTCTGTCAAGTCTAGATAAGGGACACAAGTGGAGTATAACATTTCTAGCGCCTGCCTTGACATTATCTTCCGCGCTTTCTGGGTGGTCACGCTAGTGTCTAGAAGACATCTGTTGCACATTTGGCATATCTGAGGGCCTGACTTAAGAAGTCGGGTGCATCAGTTGGGAGGAGATCAGATCAGATTGTCTTGTCCGAATCTGCAAACCAGAATGATCTGTACAGAGCTGTACAGAGCTGTACAGCGCACAAGCTCTACAGCTTGGTCCCTACTAGCCAGTTTGTCACAGTAGCTCCTTACTTTGTGGATATCTGTACAGATACTCACAGACCACCCAGTAAATAACAACTACCTGTGAAATTGCACATTTTTTCACTGTCTATGTATGTACAGACACTCACAGAGCACTCGGAGAGCAATCATTGTGCACACATTCATTTATGTACAGTCAAGGTGTTTAGGAACGATGGCAATATATTCAATCACATGGTATGGAAACATCAGTATACTAGTAGTAGCAAAATACAAAACAAAAAACGGCTCCCAAACTATGGTAGTACTGTAACTCGGACACAGGAATGTGAAGACTTAGTCGAGGATGATTTGTAGATGGGTGTGTTTGGTCTCCTCAGCACCATCGAGTTTTAGACATGCGGCCCTGGGTGAAAATAATCAGCATCCGAAATTTCAATAAAAAAAGGTTGTTCTTGCCATCCTGTTTCAGCCCATTCCTGAAGTTGTGCTACTAACCTGGGACCGTGATATGGATGTTGAAGAATTTGATCGATCATTCTGACCATCTGGCGGTATATCGGGCCGTATTCCTTGGTGGAGAACTTGGGATAAGATTTGCCGTGACCGTTTTTGACGAGACCGTCAAGGACACAGTTGTACTATAAAAATGTCAATACATGATGTCAAGGCAGAAAGTAAGAAAGTACCGCAGCAGAAACCAAAGCCAAACATGAGATGGGCAATTGCTTGTGAAAGATATCTGGCCTCTTCCAGGCAATTCGGTATGGCCCCATGTAAAAGAATCCAATAACTGCGTCAAGAAGGCCAGGATGAGCGAAATTCCTTGTTTTGCCCTAGTGATTTTAATGTATGTCGTCAGAGTCAGTGCACAATCACTCACCAATGCATCCAATCCAAACCGTAAAAACTCGGATTCCGAAAGTAATTGTGAAGCAGCATTCTGGACCCACATTGCATGTTCTTGAGTGGGGACTGACATGGGGGGAACAAGTGAGTATGCAAGAGGTGCTAAGCCTATGGCAGTTGTCTTGAGTTCTGATCGCCAGGTCGAAAGATCGTCATATAACTTCAATAAAGACCTATTGTATCAGTGAGACTGTAAATTAAGAGAGCGAAACACGTACCAATTGAGCCATGTTACACTTTTGCTCCGGCCAAACCCCTGGATTGCAACATGAAACAAATTAGCGCAAGAAGAAGCAAACACGCACCAGCTTCGAATTGTTTTCCTTCCTTGTCCCAAATGACTAAAGTTGCAATGAGAACTTCAGTTACTGACCCTGGAAGATCATCAACAAAACTCGGGAACAGATCGTCAAGTGCGTGTTCCACACGACATTCTCCCTTGGTGTGCTCAAGGAAGCTTTTCCAGCGCAGCCCGTACCAAGCTAATAGAGTAGGTTTGGGCCCATCTTCTGACCGTTTCGTCTTTCTGTTTCTCCGGGGAGCCTGTTGGTCATCAGCGTGCTCGGCTACTTGATGAAGCAGCTCAAGAGTTTCAGGGTCGGGAAGGCGGGGCTGGCCATTTTTCTTGTGGTGGGACTCCAACACATCGCTAGGCTTCGAGGTATGCAAACGATCACTGTGAGCCTCGTTCAGAATAAAAACCATTTGCTCACCTCAGAACGTTGTGTCTGTTGTTGCTGTTGCACTCCTACCGAAGGATCCAGAGAGCCCTTAAGAGCAAAAAGAATAAGAGCAATGCCAGTAAATCCATGTCAGCATACCTGGGAGTCACTTTTCTGGTGGACGGTCGAGGATTGAGAGTTTGCTACAGTGTTTTTATTGAGGCTCGTCTGAGCAGCCGCGTCATCCTCATCGTGGGAGTACTGAAAATCAAATTCAGGTGAGAGATGACGAACGACTCGAGGCTGCGAAGGTAGCGATTTGTTTGAAAAGCCTGTAAGATTGAAAGAGGGAACAACATCAGGTGGATCTCAGTACGATAAAGGAAATTACCTGGATGGCCATTGTGACATTGGTACCCATTCTCATTGGTGTGCTCATCCTCGTCTGACTCATTCTCATCCTCTTCCCTCTCCCCATCCTCGTCCTCATCCCCATCCTCATCCTCATCCTCGTCTTCATCATCGCTGTCGTTGGTGCTGCTGACTTTGGGTCCGCTGTTCAATAGCTGGGATTCTCGCAGTATAGATTGACACCTGACATTGTTGTCCTCCTCGAAAAGGGCTGGATCCAAGTTTTTTTCCATGAAGGTGGTGAGTGGCAGTATGATATTGCGTGGGTTTGGATCACGAGCTACTTTCGTAGCACGCTTCTTGACAGCCTTCGAGCCAACAGCGACATGTGGATTGTTAGCCTCGTGAAGACTACGGCCAGCACTGGGAGGAGCAACCAAACCAAACCTTCCGCCAGGTTGGTGCATTGAAAGACCAGGACCTGTGTTATCAATGCTCACAGGACCATTGGTAACTGTTAGTGAACTATAAGGTGGAGGAACCGCCTGAATGCAAACATCAGCATTAGTAAAAACGAATACTTACATGCCTGACCTTTGAACGACCCTTCCGTCCTTTACGAGCTGGTTCCGGAGCCTGAGGGTTCACTGGGATACTAGGACTGAGGGATGTGGAGCCCTTGGGAGGACGACTTCGAGACTGAGACTCAAGGACTGCACCAATCTTTTCTAGCTGGCTGTTCCTACCTCCGGTCCCTGCGTTGGGGCGGCCAGAATGTCATGGAGCACCATCTTCAGCTTCAGCAAGGCCAAGGGAAACAAGTGGTACACTGAGTGTTTCGGTGAGGTCCATAGCCTGACAAGATTTTTTGGGTACACCTGCCCTGCCAGTTGAAGCATCTGAGCCTTTGCGCTTCAACCTCTTCTTCTTGGGGCTGTTAATAGCACGAGGAGGCATGATTGCAACTACATGGAGGATAGAGAAAGAGGTGAAGCCTGAGTCTAGCGATTCATCAAGTCGCAAACTCACCAGTCTTTTATATAATAATATCATGCCTCGGCGCCGGGTGGACCAACAGAACGGCCTTGATGTGAGTAATGGACAGTATTACATTTCAAAAATGCATGCAACATCACACTGAAGCGCATACCATGTAATAATCAATGCTGCATGTTTCGAGTGACTCATCTTGATGAGAATAAATGTGTGAAGTCAAGTTGCCAAGAAACATAATTTATAAGTCATACAAGTCACAACAACCAAAAATGCAGTACATTGGGTCAACGTGAGAATGAGAGTACAACAAAGTAGCAATGAAAAATGATGTTTACGTTGAATAATCAGCCTGTATGTATGCTAACCATCTGACTCATTGTCAGTCTCCAAAATACCATCAGCCTTCCGATGCTTGGGTAATTCCATGGGGAAAGATTGCGAAGCAGCACGCTTCTCGACACGGTCTGTGAGAATAGCAGCAGATTTTCTGAGCATCTTGACAGTGGAAATGAGCTCCTCATCATCCGGAAGGCGGTCAAGATGAGTGTTCAATAATGTAAGGATGGTGTTGAAGGAAACAGGGTTCTCCATGTTGTCCTTCAAAGCCGTAAGCCACTCCTTGGCGAGAGGGATTAAGTCTTTGAAGTAAGGATGGATCTCGTCTACAAGACGGTGTTCCTCCTTCTTGGTTGCGAAAAAATTGCCCTTGAAGGCCACGCAGGATTTGAGGTCCATGTTGTTCCAGCGATCAGGTATTGAGTTTCCTATCATATCCTGGCGTACCTAGCCATGGGGGCCACAGAATTTGATGCAAATCCAGATGAAGTTGAAGAAAAGTGATTTGAGGTCGTCTGAAAAGCATTGAATGACATGCAATACAGGCAATGCCAAAGCGTTTGAAGACATTTTCGGGATATATTTCGGTTTCTTTCCGCCCAGCACTGCCTGTTGTGCATCTGAGAGTTGGGCGAGAAGCCCGTGAGACATGAACGGGATTGTTCCCTGTAGATTGGATGAACAGATCAGTACTAGATGTACTGTAATTAACTGAACACACTTACCGTACCACCGATGGCATACTTCAGATCTGGGTTGATGCGCACTGCGAACTCCCAGTCAATTAGAAACCCTTTACTACCACCTCCTAACAGATCTACAATCATTGTGTTATTTAAGCTGCAGTCGCGGTGTAGAACCTTGTGTTCCTCCACCGCCGTGCATTGAACTGAAATTAGATTTGTCAGTTCAAAGATTGCCAATCAAAAAAAAACACTTTACTGATGACAATGTCCCTCAGCGCTTTCACGAACTCTTTAAGAGTTCAGAACATATGCAGGGGGCAAGCGCAGGGCGTCAAGACAAGTCGAATGTGTGAGCGACTGGTCCCTGCAATACTTAGGTGCTGCGGTTGTTTTCGATATTTGCTGGTCACATCAGGTTCTCCATTCGACCTTTCAACCACCCACCAATCCACCAACTCGGGAACGCCAGGGACGCCAGGCATGCACTTCAACATTTCGATCTCATTCAAGATCACCTGATCCTCCTTACCCTGAACCCAATGGTCTTTGATGATGAATTCCTTATCATCCAAAGAGACCAAGTAGCAGACAGTTCCGCGACTAACAAGGCCGCGACTCGCAAACAGGATCCTTGTGATCGTGTAGATCGTGTCCCTGACACGAATTTTGCCACACGGTTCAGGTGACTGAGCTGAATACGGGAATTGTGAAGGATGGGGTGTAGCAGAATAGATACTGTCAGGCTCCTCAGGCGCTTGGGATGCGAGGTTGAGAAGGGGGGCGCTGGAGATGGCAGTGGCTTGTACCAGGTGGGGATCCTCCAGATTCTTCATAGAAATGTGTGTACCATCGTCAGCATGCAACTCTGACTCTGACTCTGACTCGGACTCTGGTTCTGGCTCTGGCTCAGACTCGGGCTCTGAGTCGGGATATATCGTCTCGATGACAGCACTTGGTGCACCCTCAACATCATTGGGTGGTGGATAAGGGAGCTCAGATGTGGCTGCAGCCATGATGTGATCTGCAGGTTGCCATTTGGCAGGGAGGTTCTTGATCAGATGATAGTTATTGGTGTGGCGTTGGGGAGGAGAAATGTGTCTTGTGAAGGAGACTATCAAGTCATAGCCTATGCACTTGAGGCTGCCGAAATGAAGGGCAGCAATAATGTGAGCAACAATGCTTGGTTTTCGGTAGATATTGAAGGCAGGGGACACGACACCACTGGCATGATCATAGAAAAGGACTCTGAGCTCCCGGTACTCGTTGGTGAGTGATAGTACAAGCGCAAAGCGCCTCCAGGTCTGCTCGCTCAGCATGAGATATGCATGACTATCAGCAGCTTTCACGAGTCGCAATGCAGGTTGATATGAACTGTGCGTCAGCTCAGCTGATACCCTGATATTCCCCCAATTTGCTGTGATCTCATCTGATAAGAGGAGATCGGGTTTCCGGTTCACCTCACTACCAGGTAATGCTTTATGTGCATGGGCCGCAGTCCACGTGTGTGTCGCAGTGGGGTTGGCTAGTAGTTTGGGCTCTGCCTTCGCTAAGCAGATAGCCAAAGCATTGAAGAATGATGAGAAAATTTCTTCATGAGTTGCTTTTGCGGTTTCGCCAGTCCCTGCATTGCCCTCCGAATCTAAGCTTTCAGGTGGTTGAGAGTGAGTTGTTGATTCAGATTCGTTTGTGGGAGCAAGAGTTGGAAGGTCCCAGTTCCATAGCTGTGCATCAGTATCATACAATGGCACCAGGTCGTCTGGTGAATTTTTGCTGAATTTTGCTTTGGTACGTTCGTTGTGATAAAGGATGTTTTTGAGTGGGATCTGGAGTGTAGATAGATCCGGTAGAGGTATGCTGAAAGGCTGAAAGATATGAGAGAGCATGTGTCCCAGCGATTGCGAATCAGAGGGTTCATCTTCCTGTGTAACTAGATGATTTAGTTCCTCAGCTGTGTACTTGTTCATTGTAAGGGCATCGCCTGAAACAGCAGCAGGGAGCGAGACCAATGACGACAACTTTATTCCATAGCCACCCATCCTGAAAAAGAACTGAGGTGGCATTTGTTTGGTATACTCTAAGCTATAATATGACAACGGTGGGAGCAACAAGATGCCCTTATCGCACGGCGTCACTACATCCATCAATGCTTGTTGAACTAAGAATATATCAGAAAGAAGCTCGTTGACAACCAATAGCACGAAAGTTAAAAATACAGGCAGGAAGCTACATAGAGAGCGGAAAGAATGTGTTCTTGTCCCAAAATCTATTTACCCAAAACTCTGACGTGTGCTCCATGCTGTTCTGTGAGGTAAAATGGCTGTCTGCACTGGCTCCAAAGTGAGGAATGAGATTAACAGGAGCCTTGATCTGCGTCAGTGGTATAATATCGCCCACTAATGTACCGTTGGAATGTTTCGCCCTTCTAATCGAGTGCAACTGTGTGGCAGGATCACGAGCACTCATTGTACCATCAAACCGGTACATATAGACAAGGAAACGGTCCTCCCATGACCAATCCGTGTTGATTCTTCCAACTGGATGCATGATAAGTGTTACGAACTAGGGTAGTTCTAACAACAGTGACTCGACAGAGTTTCGAGCTGTTGAGTTTCGTGAAGTCCTTCAGAAAAGAAGGGGTTCAGTAAAGACTTAGTCGAAGGAGTGCTTCAACTAAGAATGCTAATTCAGACGACTTAAGATTGGAGGTCTTAAGCGAAGGAAGTTCTGGTAAAACCTAGTAAGATTCAAGTGAAGTTCTACAAGGCTAATACACATGCTTAAATAAGTCGATATGTGCGCACGGACCAAGGTAGTCGTGAGATATAAGTACATAGTTCAAGAAAGGCAAGTGATCATAAATGAAAAGCGTACTGTCGGATAAAAGGGACAAATAAGCGAAAGAAAAGCATGATTGTAACATTACCCCCCTACTAGGCATAAAGTCACCGACTTTAATCATCTAAGTTAGCGTAGTAAATAGGATCATCACAATAGTCCAAGTCGTCAGCACCTCCCTTTAGTTGCTCGGAGCGATAGAAAGCTTCTTCTTCCTGACACTGCGCAATGTATTGCTCATCTTTGGTGTTTTCCCAGAGAGCTAGTGCGGTGTAAAATCCCTCATCCTTCCAAGTCAGAGTGGTAGGCGTACTGCCTGTATACCTAGGACAATAGAACGAAAGATGTCCAGGACTTAACTCTCTGCATACTCTGCAATAGTAGTCTGGGCAATGTACTTGACGATGCCCAAGAGTTTTGCAGTATCGGCAAACCCGATTTTTGTCTGGATTGGATGAAGTAGAGCGTAGCGGGGAGGGACCAGGTCATGGGCTTAATGCTTCGTCTGCACTAGTAGCTCGCTTCTTTCCTTTTCCTTTATAGGACTGTCCACGTGTCCTCTTTCGAAGAGCGGTGGATGATTTTCGTTCGATAGGGTGGTTACAAGCGACATTTTGTCGTTCCGCCTCCGCGATTAGCTCAGCTGGAGTAGAAGGAGCAGTTGCTCCTAGCGTCTTGACAGGGATAATCCCGTCTTTGAACGTATGCGTGGATAATGATTTAGGAATGGTCATTGGAGGATGAATATGAAGTGCCTTGAGCGCGTTTGAAAGATCTTTGATTTCGTAGTAGGAAAGATATTGTTCATTAGGGTTATCTTCTATTTCTTCATGAGTAGGTTCAATGGGAGGGGATTGTTCTTCTATATGGAGGGCGGCGATCATGGCTTCCATGGTTTGCGTGAAACTATTGACAGCAGCCAATAGTTCGTTAGGAATATGAGGAGGAGGTACAGGTACTGCGTCATGGTAAGATGGGGGCGGGTTGTCAGTTGTTCTATTGACAGGGGATGTAGAAGGTGGGCGAGCAACACCTGCTGATCGTTCTGCGACAATATGGATGACGGTTCTAATATCATCTTTAACCTCATCAGGAATAAGATGCAGAGTAAAGTTGCATATGCGCTTTTGAAGGTGCATAATGCCATGTCGGACTGCTTCGTCCTCAACAAGGCGCATAAGTCTTTCGATAAGGTCTGTGGCTCTGATGATGTTGACAAGGAGATTAATGGAGTATGCATTTCTTTCGAAGAGGATTCTATTGAGTTCAATAGCGTGTTGGGGACAGAGCATAGCTGCTTCAATGAGGGTGAGATCTTCGGCATTGGTGATAAAGGCTTCATATCGGTCTTCATCAGTTGCGAACGTAGTGGTTGAGAAGGTGGATTCGTAGGGGAGTGTGAAAGAGGTTGGGAAAGACATTCTTGCTGGAGTTCTTGGGTTTGGGTAAAGAGTATATCGTCAATGTAGTTTTTGATTTCAAAGCGAGTTTCTGGCTTTATAGGCGTCGAGGGTCTCCGCGGCATTTCCCAGGTTCTCTTCAGGAATCCACTCGTTACTGGCGGAAGAATATCCTTTCCAAGATACCAAATAACAGCGTCTTTTCCCATTTCCTTTATGCACAAGGATGGCTTCAATTTCGTATTCTTCTTCTTCTTCTAGAATATCAGGTGGTGGTTCTAAGAAGTTCGGACCGTTGTAGAGACTCGTGTGTCTCATGGTCTGATATGGTGCTTTACACTAGGAAGTACATAGCACGAACTTGTAGTGTCACTCTGTGCGCTACCCGCAGCTATCTCTATATGAGGCGCAGCTTTCCCGCGCAACGCGCACCATGCGCGCACCATTCCCGCGCTTCACGATGTATGCGCGCGCGCGTTCCTGCGCTTGCGCACCCTATAGCGCCAGCCATTCAGATGCATCCATCCACTGTCCACCAAGCTCCCTAGTACGTATATTTCCATTTCCTTTATTAGCATAGTTCCACCTTTATTTTTATCATAGTTTCTGTTACGCACTCAAATAGATCTGTTATGCGGAGCCCTAAGAGGGGCGTCGTCCGCTAACGTTCGTGACGTAACCGGAAGGGTCCGGTGTAGCGACTGAGACTGGCGACGTCGAGTCGGCAGATATCAGAGACGCGCGTGTCACGTGACTTCTAAGACGGATGTCTTCAAAGTCACTGACGTTCTCAAAGTAAGGACAGTCTTGTCCGAACGATGAGGTGGTCGATCGAGGTAGACTTAGGCGCGATGAGCACCTAAGAAAAGATACTAGAGACTGAAGCTGAGGGGGCTTCAGAGGGAAGTATGTTCGAGGGAAGATTGAGTAGATTCAAGTTAGGGAATCTAGTACAGAGTGACCAACTACTTATACTAAGTGGAAAGGGTTAAGGGCAAGGCTACCGTACTGTAGGTAAGGGCAAAGGGGAAACGGAAAGGGTATAGGTACGATGGTGGCAGAGCCTGATTAGTGATGTAAGGTCGAATGCGGAATGAGACCGAGAAACGTTGGAACGAGCCAACGGTAAATGATACAATGTGCAGCATGCACGAGTCAAAGGAAAGATAAGACAAGATAAGGAAAGCCACATTGGTGGCACGAGTCAGAACGAGTCATAGCCCGAAGGCACATGCGCACGTTGGTGCGATAGGAGGGGGATGAGGGATGGGAACGGTCCCGAGGATCCGGTCAACGGATAGTCGGTAGAGAAGTGCGAGCCGGAGGCATACGAGGGCGAGGACGAAGGGGAAAAATGATAGGGGGGCCATGTAGCCGATGTTACTTGTAACATTACCCCCGTTTCAAGGTAGAGTTCCACGAACTCTTTAATCGTCGTCCAAAGGAACGTAGTCGTCCTGGTTGTTATACCATGCGGGGTCGAAGTCGAGGTCTTCGAGCCAGGAGGCGGCTTCGATTGCATTCTCTTCGCGTTCTTGCTCAAGGCGAGCAGCGTCCTGGTCATACGCAGCTTCGAGCTGCTGCATGTCCCTGTAGAACCGGTCGGAAGAGGTTCCACGACGAAGGATCTTCCTGCCGTCAAGTCGAGGGCAGAAAGGAGTGAGATGTTTTGGGGCAAATTGCCCACAAATGCGGCAGAAGTATTGCGCGCAGTGTTTCTGTTTGTGTCCGTAGACACGACACTGGCGGCAAACAACGTTGCTGCGGTAGACCTGGGTGGTCTCGGTGGCATCACGACGCGCGTCGTTGATGGCGTCTTCCTGGGCTTCCTCGCGAGGATAGTGCCTAGTGAAGTTCTGGGTGCGCGGTTGATGCGCATGGGAGAGGGGTAGTCCTAGGGACAAGATGGATCGTGCACGAGCACGGTGATTTCGGCGGTGCGGAGTGGGAAGGGGTTCCGGGGAACCAATAGAGAGGTGTGGGACCACCTCAGTGGGTACCCAATCGTCGGGGTTGAGAACAGGTGGTTCGGGAGGACACTCATCCAACTCTGGGATGGTGATGGAGATGGTGTCGGCATCGAGAATGGGGGAGGGGTTACGTGGAGCGTAAAGCTCGCGTTCGTATTCGTTATAGAGACGGTCGATCTCGGGGTTGGTCAACTGGGTGACGTTGGGGATCTGCTCTGGTGATTCAGAGCGGGGTAGTTGGGGAAGGAAGGGGGTCGGAGCTCTGTCATAGACAGCACGCTCGACGACTGCAAACGGGTCGGGAGGGGGATTAAATGCCCGCTCCTCCTCGACGGCCATGACGGCGGCATGGAAGTTCCTAAGCTCAAACAGATTTAGCAAGGCTCGTTTGATCTTGCCTTGGTTGTATCTGGTTGAGACGGTGGATAGGGAAGTTTCCCTAGCCAGGTCAATCCTGGCGATGTCGCCGGTGAGGGCATCGGTGGCCCTGAAGGCTTGAACGAGGTTCGTGGTTATGTCGTCGTTGGTGCGGTTGAGATAGTTGTCGAGTCGGATTGCGTACTGGGGATCGCAGATGACTGCTTCCCAGTAGGCCCGTTGCCTGTCTTGGACAACTGAGCGAAGGGATGGTCGTCGGAAGACGGTGTAGGAGGGCCTATCATGGCCATGCGTTGGCTGGCTCGTCGGGTCGGGGTCGGAGGCAGACGCATGAGAGGTAGCGGATCGGTGCGAGGAAACAGACGACACTGAGGCCGACATAGTGGAGCGTCTTTCCTTGGGTAGTGGCGTAGGTGGGGTATTGGGTAGTGGGTCTCTGTTTGTCGACGGGTGTGGATTTCGTGGGGCGGTGGCGATTGCGGATTTGTTGGCGATGGAAGGCTTTGGTATCGGTGTGGATGGGTTCGCTGGTGGGGTCAGCCCTAGTGTAGTGAGGGCGGTAGGAGAAGTTGCGGTGGCGGTTGTTGATCAACATGAGATGGCGATTGAAGCGATCTTGAGTCGCTTCTTATACGCCTTCAGGAGCTCCGCTGCGGACTTCAATTCTGTTTCGGGGAGCCACGTTCGTTCGGAGGCAGGATAGCCAACCCAAGACACGAGGTACCGGCGACGCGATCCGGTACCCTTGTGTTGGAGGATAGCTTCCACTTCGTAGTGTTCCTCTCCATCGATAAGATCAGGAGGAGGTTCGGTGAAATTCGGTCCATGCACGTCTGTCTCCTGATAGGAGGAAAGTTCCGAGGCATGGAACGTGGGGTGGATACGCCAGCTGGCAGGCAGCTTGAGCTGGAACGTGATGGGGGAGAGGACCTTCTGGATTGGGAAGGGTCCATATCGTTTC